TAAACTCAATATTGCAATATATAATGTTTAAGGATACAACACATAAGAAAAAAGATTGCTATAAGAAAATTACTGTTTAACTAATAACTTACATATAATTAGTCTTACTGAAACAAAAATCTTTAAAAATACAAAAACTAAGTTCTGGAACACATCTCATTATTTATACTTCTGGTTCAATTCTACAGAATCTAAAGAAATAATATATATAATGATTAAAAATAATATTCAGCTTTATATACATAATATAATTACACAATCTGGTAGTACTATTGCTATAGACCTATTCTTCAAACATGATTATAAATTTAGAATTATTTTAGTATACCTCTTATCTACTAATACTGCTAACTGCAAACTTACACAAAACATCATTACTACATAGACATAACAAGCAATATTATCCAACCTATATTCTATCATATTTAGAGATTTCAATGCAGACAACAATATCATTACACTATCAGGAACTAAATTTCAACTACTCAATTACTTGCATAGTATAAATATGTATAACTTAGCAGACCATATCAACAATTTACAAAACACTTGACATAGTACTCGATACCAAATTAGAATAGACTATATATGGGTCCATGATGCTCTTATACTATACTTAAATGAATTTAAACTTAACAATTTATCATCCTCAACTAATAGTAATTACTAAATCCTAATCTCTACATAGATATTTTCATTTACAGTAACTAAAGCCAGACACAAAAGCAAAAGTAAATGATAAATATTTAATTGCAAAGCTATGTTCAAAAAAGACTGAAAAGATTTTACAGATTAAATAAATTTGAATATAATACAACACCAGGTTTTAATTATAATAAACACAACAGAAAGTCTTAAAAAAACCTGGCATAAAATACATACTAGTATTATTAATACTGCATTTCAACATATTCTAAACAAAAAATATACTATTAAAAACTTTCATCATACATTTATACCAAAAGCAATCCAATTATATTATAATCTTAAAACTATTGGACATATTATATACTATGTTAAAAAACTCTTTTTATACCAAATACTATTATCTGCTAATATTTAAAACCTTATTGATTACATTAATAATACTTATAACTTTATTATTGAATTACTATCTAACTATTAATTCAGCCTAGCTACTTGATACAGCATACAAAAACCTTCTGAAAAACACTTTACAATGCCAGAAACATTGAAAATTCCAAACATCTTTGTAATTATATCAACACAGCTACAAATAAATGATATAAATAATTATTTATTCAACTAACCAAAATGATCAACAGTATATTAAACTAATATACAGATATAGTACATCTTCAAAACATCAAATCTACTAATAATATATATAATTATTAATCTTATAGAGATTAAACAACATGTTAGTGAACATTTTAAAATATGAACAGCCCATTATCAATTAATAAAAATATTTTTAATCAAAATTGGAAAACTGTTGTTATGAAACTTTTTGCTTTTCTTTGCACTTGTTTATAAGTATAAGTTAGTATAGCATAGTAATAGGGTTCGAAACCCTTATAAACAGTTTGCATAAATAAGTTAGTATAGCATAGTAATAGAGTTCAAAACCTCAAAGTAAGGTACAAAACCCTGTTATAGTTAGCATAATGTAGTAATAAGGTTCTAAACTCCAATATTGGGTTCAAGACTCTAATCTAGAATTCCTAATCCTAGGTACAGGTCCAAAACCCCAGCAGGAGGTTTGAGACCCAACTACTGAAATCTGTATAAATAGGGTGTATGCCTAGTAAATAAAGCTTTAGTTAATTGCTAAGTTAATAAATAAATATGATATAAAATTGAGACCCTACTCGTAGCCAAAGTGATAAGTGATAGTCCTGTGTAGTATAGCCTAGTATTTAATTCCTAACCCTCATATTATTGTTTAAAAACTGACAACCTGTTAGAGTTAGGCATGTGACTTCTGTCAACCTATCAGCAACCCAGTAATTAAGACCACCCTGAACTAGTCTTGTCTGTTAGTTAGAAGCTGAGTTGAGGCCCTGTCTATACTTGTAGTACTGTGCTAAACCGGCAACATATAAGGAAGACTCTCCCCTACTACAATTTTTTGGTGCCGATTGTGTGGAAAAATACCGGAATGGATAAACATCAAAGGGACATGTAACTAATCATAGATAATTACTATGTACATACAAGTAGTAGAAGTGTTGGAAAAAGAAGAACATATACAAGTACTGTGGGTACAGACAGTAATAATAAGACCAAGAGTATAGGAAAATGTGAAAAAATGTAATTAATGATTTAACTCCAGGGGACAGTAATTACGATTTCAGATGTATGAATAGAGGGAACAATCAGGAAGGTAGCAAACCCCCTAGTAATGAGAGTCTATTGGATAATCCAAACCTGCCGATAAACTATAAACAGCAACCAACCTCAGATCAACAAACAATGCAATTATTGCAACTCTTAGCAAATGCTTTAAAACTGTTTCGAGAGTCACAATTGGAATTAGGCGAATGGAATATAGTAAACTATCTTATGTTTAGTAGGAGAAACCAGGACCCTGTAGAATGGATTGAGTTGATCACATGAGCATTCAATGCCAACAACATCCAAGAAGTCAGGCGAATTGTAATAGCAAGTGCATACCTTTCTGACCTTGCCGTGCTGTGGTAGGAAAGTTTAAGAAACCAGAGAATAAAAATACATTACTGGAATAACAAGACAATGGCAGGACAAAGTTTCATATACCAGTTTCATCGAAACTTTTGTACTTCGGCTCTAATTAACCAGTAGAATACTGAATTACTAACAAGATGGCAATGCGTAGGAGAAACAGTAGACCAATACACTGCAGACATATTGGTATTGTTCAATCGAGTCACCTGAGTTAGGAACCAGTACCCCGAATTAACTAAGGCACAAATGTTCATTCAAAAACTTTGTCCAGACCTATCACTGGTTATAAGACTATTTATGCCAAATACATTCCAGAAAGCTATTGACAGGGCATGAACATGTGAAATAACTTTTGCAAGAGGAATGTTGGTTTGTGGACTAGCATTATATCATCAGCTAGCCTATGCGACCACCCAAGCACCCATGTTACCATTATACCAACTAATGTATCTCTTGAACCAACCAGTTACATCTGCACAATCTCCAAATGCTTCAATAGAGCAAGTTATAACACTACTCTGAAAGGTGGCCATGGCAGTAAAGAATAATAGTAACAATAACTATAATCAGTCATGCCTTCTATAAAATGGAAACTAACTTGATAGAATAAACTGGCCACCCATATGCTATGCTTGCCAACAAGTAGAACAGTATACTCATGAGTGTCTAACCAACAATCGTGTCAATAATAATAGGAACAGTAATAATCTACTAGTTCTGCCTCAGAATAATGCCTCTATGAATGATAATAGGATAGTAGAGGAAACTTCAAGAGCACAAGCAATGATAGTGCAAATACAAGACAAATTTGAACCTTTAAACTCAAAAGTGCACCTTTAGAGGTTAAGAGTGTATAACTAACCACAAACCTCTCTATTGCAAAGATAAAAAAAGCATACATGGTGAAAAGGAAACGTGTTGATGAAGAACCTACTGAACTAGAGCTTTCGCCTAGGAACAGTCATAATGGTGGAGACAATCAAGCAAGTAAACAAGCAAGTAATCAGAAAAGTAAGCAAGGAAACAGTAAAAAGGTCATAAAAAGAAAGATTATGAAGCCAGTGGAACCTCCAGTAATGGCGAAAATCCAGCCATATTCGATAATAACAGACCTGCAAAACAAAAAGGCTGACATAACATATGCTCAGCTCTTTCAAGTAGCACCTAACATACAGAAGGAGGCATTGAAGGTGTTATAGTCTGAGAGAGTGACGAAAGGGAAACTTGCCAAATTTTGTCTCAATAGGAGTAATGATTTATATATAACATCAATGTACTATAATGCTCAAGTAAACGGTAAACCAATCATTCTGATCTTGGACAGTAGCTCCTCTGGTTGTGTTGTTTCTACTAGGTTCCTAAAGGATATTGGCATAATGATTGATTATCCATCTACAGTAATGATAATAGGCATATACAGCGAACAAAAAAGGCTACTAGGAGAGATTGACGAATTTTCAGTAACTGTTAGAGAAAAAATCATAATGTCCCAAGCAGTCATAACTGATGCCAGAAACTATATGATAATCGTAAGAAATGATTAAATAAGAAAGGCTCAAGCACAATTGGATTGAGAATCCTGTGAGTTAATGCTAAGAGATGGAAACGAGAGGATAAAGGTTTCAACTGAATATTGTAAGCCAGCGAATGTTGGGAATCGAATAGCAAAGGTGGTCACAAATGAGAAAAGGAAGAAAGAAGATGAAGGAAGTGATTCAGAAAGTAATGAAGATGATAAAGATGAGGATGAATTAGAATTTAGTGAAGAGGATGAGTATGAAGAGGAGAAAGGGTTGGTGAGTCAAACATATTTGTATTGCAAGTTCTATTCTATAAGAGAGGAGACCGATGTCATATGCAGGCTGTGCTTAAAGAGAGGACACTATGAATCAGAGTGTATGTGAAATGAAGTTGTGGGTCTAAATGCAAGACTACATATAGAGGAAAGAAAGACAGATAACTTCAAGCTAGAAAATATGACCTCAGATCAGCAGCATTAAATAAGAAAGATATTAAGAAGGTATGAGGACATTTTCGTCCATGAACCTGACCAGCTAGGTAGGATGTCCATTATGCATCATGAAATTTATACAGAGAGAGGCCCTCCTATAAAGCAACAGTTTTACTCTATGTCCAAGGTAGAGCATGAGTTTATTGGGCAGAAAATAAAGAGAATAAAGGAAGCTAGGTTAATTCATCTGTCATGCAGTCTGTGGGCATCTCCTATCGTATTGGTTAAGAAAAAAAATGAAAAAATGAGGCTGTGTGTTGACTTTAAAAAGCTAAATTAATGAACAAAACATGATAGCTACCCCCTCCCAAGAATTAATGAGTTATTGGAAGCCCTCAAGAACTCGACCTGGTATTTCATCCTGGACCTCGCCAGTGGGTTCTGGCAGGTTATAATTCATCCACATGATTGTGAAAAGACAGCCTTTATCACCAAATTCAGGCTATATGAATTTGTAGTGATGCCCTTTGGCCTAACAAATACTTTCACCATGTTTCAGTAATTAATAGATCACGTACTTCAAAAAGAGATGTAGGACTTCATCTTGGCCTATATAGATAATGTCAACATCTATTGCTTCAGTTTTAAAAAACACTTGAGTCATGTGGTCATCATTCTTGGTAAACTGCACTAAGTGAACCTGAAGTTGAATCCAGACAAGTGTTATTTTGGACAAGACTGAATAGAGTTCCTGGGACATGAAATCTCTGGCAAAGGTATAACCCCAACTGTGACAAAAGTAGCCACTATAAGTAACTTTTTTCGACCCAAGAACCTTCGTGCATTGAGAGGATTTCTAGATTTGGCTGGCTTCTATCATCACTTCATTAAAGATTTCTCAGATATAGCCATGCCTCTTTACAACTATTGAAAATAGGAGAAAATTTCATCTGGAAGAAGGAGTAACAAGAAGCATTCAATGAATTAAAGAGTAGGCTCACTTCAGCTCCCATCCTTGCTCACTCTCAGGATGATGTTGGATTTGTTTTGTACACAGATGCATTATACCTTGCTCTTGGTGCTGTTCTATTTCAGCCTAGTGATAATGGGCTTAAAGGTATTGTGAAGTATGCCAGTCAATCAACAAAGCCTGCCAAGCAAAATTACACAATAACTAAGTTAGAGTGTACTACTATCATTTGGGCCATAAAGAAGTTTCACCAATACCTCTACAGATCTCAATTTACAATAGTGACTGATCATACAGCTTTGACCTACTTTAACAATATGGCTAACCCAACTGGCAGAATGGTGAGATATATTATGACTCTTCAGGACTATGATTTCATGATAAAGTACTGACCTAGGAGGCAATTGGAGAATGTCGATGGGCTATTATAGGTAAAGGAGTCTGAGTAAAAAAAAAAAAAAAAAATTAATAAAAAATAATAACAAAAAAATTAATAATAATAATAATAATAATAATATATATATATATATATCTGTGCATAAATAAGTAATAATAAGCATAACATTAATAATAACACAGACATAGTAGTTAAGGGTCAGCTATGACGTTTATGTGCAGAGTCTGGAGCACATAAATCAATAACCTAGTAAAAGTACTAACATAACCAGCTGCAAAACAACGTAACAACTGAAAGAAACAAAAAAAAAAAAAAAAAAAATGATGAGCCAAGAGAGAAACCCAACCATATATGAGTATTTTCGAGCTAGCTACCCTAAGGTGAATTGAATCTACCACTCAGAAACTGCTCTTAACCAATTATAAGTAGATTCTTGACCCAAATCCAGTTCAGGTGACAGTGTCCTGGCATATATATATACAAAAAAAAAAAAAAAAAAACTGACAAGCTAAACAAATCCTTAAGATAGAACTCAAAGATTATACTAACCTGATTCAGTACCTGACTAAGTTAGAGCTGCCTAGAGAATATTCAAAGGAACAAAACTGAAAGTTAAGGAATCAGTTCAGGTATTATGTTGTACAAGAAGGAGTGCTATATCAGAAGAACCATCAAGAGCCTGATCGGCCTTTAAGGGTACTAAAGCATGAAGAAGTAAGGATGGTATTGAGAGCTTTACATGACAACCCCACATCTGGCCATTTAGGTGAAAGAGCAACAATAGAGAAAGCATGAAGATAGTACCATTGGAATCAAATAATAGGAGATATTAAAAACTATATACAGAGTTGTGATGCCTGTCAATAATATAAGAAACCAAAAAATAAGAGGTGTTACACCTAATACAGGTGGCACAACCTTTCGACTGAGTAGGAATGGACATAGTGAGGCTCTTGCCTCTTACAAGAAACAGTAACAGGTACCTGGTGGTAGCAATAGAGTATTTGACGAAATGGCCCGAGGTTTGAGCGTTATCCGACTGTATGGCAGAGTCTGTTATTGCCTTCATGTTAGAAGACATAATTGGTTGACATGGCTGCCCCTAACAGATTTTGACGGATCAAGAGACCCATTTTAAAAACCAGATTATAGAGAAGGCCTGTAACCGGGCCAGTATCAAGCACAAATTTTTGTTCATATATCACCTACAGACCAACAGTCTTGTTGAACAGTTCAATTGAACTATCTGTGAGGCACTAGCAAAGTGCATAAGTTAGTACCAAAGGAACTGGAATGAATATATGAGCTCTGCTCTATTTGCTTGCAGGACAGCCAAGCATGGTATGACCAAATATGATCCTTTTTACCTGATGTATAGAAGAGAGGCTGTGTTACCTATAGAATTACTGCTGAAAACCTACTTAATGGATCCTATGAATGATGACTACTACAAGTCTATGGTTTTAGGCAAAACCTTAAAATTGGTGGACGAACTGTTTGAAGTTTGGATCAAAGCATGTGAGAACATTCGCAAGGCCCAACAAAAGCAGAAGTGAGGTCATGACTAACAATACTCCTTGCAAAGTTTTGGGATCGAAGATAAGGTGTTAAGGTATCAGGCCAAGCTAAGAAAACAATTAGGTGACAAATTAGAAGAAAAGTGATTGGAACCATACTGAGTGCATGATGTAATAGGTAATGGTACATATCAATTATATACAATGGGAAATGATGAGAAGATAATAAAAGGGGCAGTGCATGATAGTTAATTAAAATGCTACAAAGCACAAAATAATGACAGAATGAGGTAATAGTAAAATTATATAAAAAAAAAAAAAAAAAATATGTATATATATATAAGAAAAAAAAAAAAAAAAAAAAAAGAGAAATGGAATGACGTTTCGAAACTTTAAAAAAAACAATCCAACAACTTGTGGACCAGATGAAATCTGACAAAGAACTGAAGGTTAAGAAGGAGGAAGTAATCTTTCGATACCAGGACCAAGAGATTCATAAAGGGTTTGGATAAACGGAAAGAAGGACCAAGGCCCAGCAAATCTATGACCATTTGGCTTTGTATCTTCAAGACTTGAACCACCCCATGGAAACCGAACTTGCAATGTCTATTGAAGCTGCTAAAGAAACCTGAAGTGAAAAACTAAGTAATATGTGTAGCGACATTGAAGATCTGAATCCAAGGATCCTATTGATGGCTGAGGTATTGGAGACCTATTATAAAGTAGAAAGCTTGCTATTTGAAAAGGATTGAGATGATGAAGCATAAAGGGAGCTGGTCGAGTGACTCCTAGCCCCTAAAGTAGGCTTAGTATAAAAAATTGCAAAGCGAGTGTATATGTTGTTTGCCATGTAGGGTGAGTGGTATATGTGTCAAGTTCAATATATATTGATTTCGGTGTTGAAGCGAATGTTAGAGGAAGATTTTTCTAAGGCAATGTTAGCAGAAGCAGAAAGGTTGAGAGAGGAGGAATTTTGAAAAATGATGATGAGTTCACAGGAGCTCACTCTTTAAGCAAAGGAAGATGTTACGAAACTTTTTGTTTTTCTTTGCACTTGTTTATAAGTATAAGTTAGTATAGCATAGTAATAGGGTTAAAACTCTTATAAACAGTTTGCATAAATAAGTTAGTATAGCATAGTAATAGGGTTCGAAACCTCAGAGTAAAGTACGAAACTCTGTCATAGTTAGCATAATATAGTAATAGAGTTCTAAACCCTAATATCGGGTTTGAGACCCTAATCTAGGGTTCCTAACCCTAGTACAGGTCCAAAACTCCAGCAGGGGGTTTGAGACCCAATTACTAAAATCTGTATAAATAGGGCATATGCTCAGTAAATAAAGCTTCAGTTGATTGCTAAGTTAATAAATAAATATAGTATAAAATTGAGACCCTACTTGTAGCCAAAGTAATAAGCGATAGTCCTGCATAGTATAGTCTAGTATTTAATTCCTAACCCTCATATTATTGTTTAAAAACTGACAAACTGTTAGAGATAGGCATGTGACTTCTGTTGATCTATCAGCAACCCAGTAAACGAAACCACCCTGGACTAGTCTTGTCCGTTAGTTAGGAGCTAAGTTGAGGCCCTGTCTATGCTTGTAGTACTGTGCTAAACCAGCAACATATAAGAAAGACTCTCCCTTACTACAACACTGTATATCAATCTAACACTAGCATTAATACTGAATAGTATATTCCTATACTTTAAGAAATTACTACAAAAGAAATTATAAACACTATACAACAATTATCTAATAACAAAGCCTGTAGGCCTACTGAAATTAGTTATAAAATAATTAAACATCTTAGTTCTAATATACAATCTGCATTTATAGTATTCTTTAACAAATGTTTAATTATACAAAATATTCCAAAACAATAGAAATCTAGTAGAATATATTCTATCTTAAAAAAATCAGAATTCAATGAAAACCTTAATAATACTTGACCTATTAGTCTAATTGAACATACAAAGAAACTATATACTAAAATCCTTACTAACCATTTATCACAAGTTTTAACTTAACACCAAATTCTTAATTTATATAACTATGTTGCACTTTCTGGCAACTCAACTAACAACCCAATCCATATACTCAATAACTTCTTTGAAGATGCCAAATGCATCAAAAAACACATCTGAATTTTGTCTCAAGACATGAGCAAAGCATATAATTTTGTAAATATATATCTTCTAACCAAAGCTCTACAATGTCTCAATATGCCTAACACATTAGTCAACATAATAACCAATCTTTTATACAATTAATCTAATCAAATTATTACTAATCTTGAACTTATACCCTCATATAAGGTACAAGATAATATAGACCAAGATAAAATTATAACCCCTTTTCTTTGGTAAATTTACTATGACCCTTTAATAAGTTATATATACAAGAAATATACTAGCTACACTACAACAACTAAATAGCTTACTCAGATTAACTCTAGTAGATATCAATTTACTACTACCTCTACATTTTTACTGGCATATATAAATGATATACTATAGCTTGCAAACTCAGTAAAAGAGCTTCAAGCAATAACTTAAGCAGCTGCATCCTTCTACACAATGGCCCATATAAAAGTTAATTCACACAAATCCTTCTTAACTTCAAATATTAAATCTACTATTCATATTAAATTCATGAATCAAACTATCTAAGCACAACTACAAAATATTCTTTTTAAATTTTTAGAATGCTAGTTTACAGCTGCATTACAATATATAACTCAAACAAAATTAATACAACAAAAAGCACTTGAACTTAACAACATATTAAAAACTAAAAATATTACAGATAAACAAGCTGCATATATCATAAACATCATAATTATTTTTACTTTAGAATATTATATACACAATATAGTATTACTATATACAACATATAACTATATATTATTACAATACTTTACTACAGCCAAACACAAAGCTAAACTACTAGTATCTATACTAAATAGTATACTTTTAAATCATAATATATATGATATTAAAAACATAGAAAATAAAAGTACAACATCATATATCTAAATTTTATCTCTGTATTAATAATTCAAATTTAATAAGCATTAGTACCCATATTCAACTTTAACAGTTGCAAACCAACTTGTAGTCTACAACTAATATTTTACAATATTCTCATCTATATATAAATGAACCCAATAAAAACACAACTATCTACAAAATCATACAACTATTTAACAAGCTTCAGATAACCCTACAAGCCAATTCTAATATTCTTAAACTCTACATACTTCAATACTTATATACATCTATTAAACAATTTCTTCATATTTATAAACTCTATATACAATTTAAAAAGCAACTATGTACTAAAGAAATAATAAGAGGATGGTGATCCTAGTGTAATGGTTGGATTGTCATCCTTCAAGTGGCAGGTCTAAGGTTCAAATCCCACCTATGACAAAATTTGGAAATTAACCTGTGTTATAGCAAACTGTCTCTTGACAATCGGTTGGATTTGTGTATCTGTAATCTTAAGTCGCACCATCTTGAATGGGAGCTCAGGGCATCTATGCCAAGTGTAACGTTACATGTACATAGAGGAATGTTAATAACCGGTATCATATAAGACTTCGGTGCAAATCCATGATAAGACTATTAAGTGTAGTAAACTAAGAAACTGAAGAGTCAGAAGCCCACTTGAAAATTCCTGAGTAAAGAGGTAGCATGAACTTTTGATGATATGATCAGACCAATAGAAGCCCATGAAACACCCCCAAAGGGATAGGTGGATAAACCGGATGTCAAGATATGTAGAGGAGCACATAACCAACCAGGCCACCAGAATCGCTGGAGGAAAAGGATACATAAGTATACCATACCAGGCTATCTGGATTGGAAGTCAGGGGAGTCCTGTCAGTCCTGAGTAGCAGTTAGTAAGGGATGATAAAGAAAACATCGCGATGATAGGTACTGGGGTTCTAGTGAACTTTACAAGGGTAGAAATAGTATAACGTAGTGGTTAAACAGGTAACCTCTGTAACTGCAAGTGTTAGATAACTATAGCATGTTGCATAAAACTAGATTAGCTGTGTGTGGAACACGAAAGGTTCTAGTAAGTTTCCTGTCAAGAATAAACTAGTCCTAAGGGTACTTGAAGGCATCGGGTACTTTGAATAGGTGTAGCCTTGAAGATGTCCCCATGAGACATGATGGACTACATATGCAGAGGGTTTAAATAGGCAAGACCCGTAGTTGGCTTGCAGGTATGGCACCTAGTGTAGAACCTGTATAGTAATGTATAGGCGGACTACTTAAATTAGGCACCAAAAGTGCACGTGTAGTTAGTTGTAACCTCCTATGTAAAGGAGCTCCTGGAGGCACCTGTGTTCAAATATATGAATAAAAACATCAACTTCTAAAGACAGGGACTTTAACTTAAAAAAAAAAAAAAAAAAAAAACTAAAGAAATAATATATCTTAAGCAACTAACATTATATAACAACTCTGTATTACTTGATTGGAAGCTCATATCTTTATGATTACAACATATATCTAAAAGTCATAAACTACTATGGTTTATTATATTTGAAAATACAATTATTACTAATCACCAATCAAGACTAATAAATCTTTAGTTGCAATTGTCTAATATTAATTCCATATTATTTACTACTGAACATTACAAATATGCACCTAAATCTTAGATAATTGCATATGACTATAATAACAACAACAATGCTATTAGCAAGACATGAAAATACAACCAAATAGAAGATACAATATTTATAACATACTGGTTAATTGACTTTGACACATCATATACTAAACTATATCTTTCAGTCAATTATATTTGCAAATAATGCATAAGATGTTACTTTAACTCTAATTATATACAAAATAAATGCATATTTAATATTTCTATTAACCTTACAACTAAGTTTCTTAAAAGGAAAATTAACTTCAAATTGTCTAATACTCTAGACTTTTATGCAAATCTATTAAACCTACTATACTCTATTGCATTCTGAAACCTAACAACAATAACTTTACAATCTAATATTACAATATATAACAATACTGTACTTGACATCTTTACACAAAATCAGGCTGCACAAACTTTACAACAAATTGCACAAAAAACAATTCACTGCATTCATAATTCACATTTTATACAAATGGTTCTGTAAACAACATTACAAATAACAAATACAAAATAAACATCAGATGAATTCAAATCCAAGATGAAACTATTTTGCATTAATATTTTGTAAAAATTAAATTTTAGCCCTTATTATATAAGGCAAAGCTTATAGCAATTCTTTCTGCAATTATCACTTACCCAAAAATGAGCACTATAACAATATATACAGACTCATAATCTATTATTTTTAAATATAACAAACTTATACAATTATTACCTACATCTAACAGACAATATTCTTATAACTATTAGCCAATATAGCATATATTACTTAACTTTATTACTGCATATCAAATTCAAGTAAATCTTCAAAAAGTAATTGCATATAGCAACAACACATTTAATAACATAGTTAACAAACTAGCCAAAAACCCAAATCAATCATATATATTTACTATTCTTTACAATAATAAATACAATCCATCATATTACTTCTACTATGACAAATATCCTATAGAGCAACCTGCATATAGAACAATTAAAAATATTAGTAATGCCTATAATATAGCAATATGGTTCTTTCAACACTGAATAGAAAACATTTTATCTTTATTCTTACTAATTAACTGAAAAGCTACTTGGCTTTTCTTTAATAACAATCACAAAAGATCTACATCTTAT